ATATATATATATATATATATATATATATATATATATATATATGTATGCCTTTTTATAACTGTCCATTGTTGTCATCATTCTTTGTTGAAATCAGGTCTCTCTTGTAAACAAGTCCTCGAGGCTCAATGGGATTAACCTGTCTAAATAAACCAGAAAAGTCCATGCTCAATAATCCAGGTATACAATCCAACAATTTTCAGTCAGGTCATCTGGACAGTTTCTTTTTAAAAAAAAAAAGAAACTGTCCAGATGACCTGACTGAAAATTATTGGACTGTCTAAATAAAGGTTGAATGAATATTCTTCTCAACACATCCTGGTTTGCCCCGGGGTTTCATTCCAGGAGGTCATGCCCAAAACACCTGCACAGGGAGACGTCCAGATGGCGTCCTAACCTAATACCTAATGAAGAGGACATTTGATTCCAGAGATGTTTGTGTTTTATGTGAACTGGTGGTAGAGATAGCATCTATTGTAGAGTATTGTAGTAGAGACGACAGAGATGACAAAATAAGTAAATAATTGTGAGAAGCTGCAACGAATAATTGTAAGAGTTCTGCAAGAAGCATGTGTCTGTACTGAATGTTGTGCCTTCATGTGGGAGTCGACCAGTGGTGTAGTCTACATTTCTGTAGTGGGTATACCGTGGTAAAGTTAGTTTTACGTTGGACACCGCTGAAGCCATGAAGCACGAATATCCAACGTCCAACGTAAAACTAACTTTACCACAGTCGGTTCGTATACTGAGCTTAGAAGCCAAAGTACACTGGTTAGTACAATGTAATCATCAATTAATTTTTATTTTTAAGCATAATGAACATTTCCAAATTTCCCTGATGCTTATATTTGAATAAATGAACAACAAACTTTGTACAACTGTTGGCTTTGTATTAAAAACATGTTATAAAATGTATAAAACAATATCAAAGCAAAACATGTGCAAGTATTAAGGTAAGTACAGAAGTATTCATTATACAATAATTCGCTGGATAAGCGAATTTAATAAACAAGCGCTGCATAGCGATAGTTACTGAAGCGTTTCACGTATCAATGACATGTGCCTAATGATATGTCAGGTATCAGTGGGCACTTTTAAATGGTTATACTGAAATTCTTAAGCTTTTCTTGTGGGTATACTATGCCCGAGTATCTCGTAGACTACACCACTGGTCAGTCAACCCCCAACCTTGTCAGTATAATGGTATACATTTAAACAGAATACTAATAGGAAGCACAGTCTTATATGTTGCTCATGCTTCATAACATGATAAAGTTATTAAAATGTTCATGCTTTACTTTGTAACGGTACTTCAGCTGTCTCTATTACTCATCTGAACTGAAAGCTAAAAATAGTCACGTGTGTGTGTTTAGAGTCAGCGGAGCAGCTTTATCATATATTTACTGAGCCTATTAGTGTCTAATAGAGCACATGCTAGTTTCCCCAGCCCAGCAGTTCCTCTACCCACCGTGTAGTTTAGCAAAAACAACACTATGCCACTTCCCCATCTCTTTCCCCTAATAAATGTAATATTTTGTTCCCATTAAGTTTAGGTTTTAGATGCGTTTGCGAGAGCACTTCAAAGGCTCAAGCCTCGCTGAAGTGAACTCCACGGCAGACTTCACTCTGCAGCTGCGGATGGTTTGGACCTGCTGGAGATGAGCTCGCAAATGTGCTCTCTGACTGGCAAAGCAGTTCCGAGCTAAACGAGAGTTTGTGCAGCGTTCACTAATGACCAGCACCGAGCTAAAGGTGCGATGCAAATCACAGCTCGTCCACAGAAAACACACACATGGCTCCAGCTCAGCCAGTTTGACAGATATGGAGGTAACTGGGCCCTAACAGAAACACTGGCCACTAATGGATCGTACAAGACTCGTTAATAAAACTTTATCATTAACTACAACGGTCAACTCTGCTCAGACACTTTGAAAGAAATTTAGCTCAAATTTGAAGTGAGCTTAACCCCCAACATGCATGTAGAGCAGTACATTATTATTAGTAGTATTTCTGCTAAAACTGTTTACATCAATTTGGTAATTGGCACCCCGCCCCCCCCCCCCCCCCCTCCAATGATTCTAGATCTATCAGTTTAACGACCACTGAACTAACATTGTTAGTTACTACACTGTTACTAACCTGTTTAAATAAAGGTTGAATGAACGTTTAGTGTGGCTGTGGCTCCTCAGAACGTGTTTTAAGTGCCAACTCATCTTGCATGAAATCAGGGGGAGTGGTAGATCACAGGATCAACTCCTGGACCAACAGCACCAAAAATGTGGGTGGGAAAGGTGAAGCACCCACACCTGCCTCCACCCTCATTTGCCCCACTCTGGGCCCTTGAGTAAGGCCCTTAACCCCGACCCTCTGCTCCCCCGGGTGCCCTACATGCAGCTCTCTGCTCCACGCAGCGGCTGTGGCAGCTCGGTGTCTGTGCTTGAGTCATGAAGAACATCTGGAGTAAAAACCACCACCAGGTCTTCATGCGAGTTAGTTCACTGTGGCGACCTCTGAAGAAGGAGCAGCCGAAACAAGAAGAAAAACTGTCTTGCATGAAATTGTGCATAATGTCCAACAGCAGGAGGTCTGACTAAAACGGATCAGCTGAATCGTTTCTCAGCAGAAGATGTTCAAAGTGAAGGCGGCGAGCGGTGGACGCTTCTTGAGAAATGCTTGGTCGTCGTTCAATACTTTTTCAAATCATTTTCTAAAATATTGAGTCATTCAAGAAATATCGTTGAAATGAGTTCCAGCAGTTACAAAAGAAGAGCTGGAGTCCATTTTTCCCCCAGAGCCAGGGAAGCTGGTCGCCTGAGCGGCGTGTTCTCCACTGCAGCAGCGCTCATTACCTGGGTCTCCATAGAGACCACCTGCACCGGACCACTGCTATGAAAGTCTCATTTCACGGAGCTGCGTCCAGAAAAGGTGCAACGCGCACAATTGAGGCTGAAGCGCCTCAGTGAGCATAACGTTTTCTGCTCTCGTTCAAGAATAAAATGCAGCAAAAACAACACAACATCTGGAATTGTAAATAAATAGAAGAGAAATACGAAGAGGAGTTCGTCACAAGGATCTGCATGTTTCTCATTTCTGCCCAAAAGCGTCCAATGAACTGTGTGAATGGATGAGACCCTCGTCAAACGAGACAAAGTGTCTACAACCAGCAGAGCCGCTGCTGCCATTCAAAGTTTCAGTGCAGATGTAGCAGCAGCCATTTTGAAACGCTGCTGCCTCAACCCGAGATGAAAGAAGCAAAGCAGCGGAAACCTGCAGCATGTGTTCGCTTGAATTCTGGACACAATCACGTGTTGGGATGTTTCTTTAGCTTCACGTTCTCCAACAAATCATGTCTGGGGTCGCTGAGATCTTTGCACAACCACAAAATGCTTTTTCCCGTCGTCTCTGATGCATTTTCCTCTGATCTGAGTTTACACTGTGTCCATTTTCTGACCCCCGTCCTTTCACAAACATTTCAATAGAGCTTTAAAATCATCCTTTTTTTTTTTTTAGCTGATTTCTGTGACCCCCCCCCCCCCCCACACACACACACACACACACACACACACCCTCTAGAGCATTTTCCTCCCCCATTCTCACTTCTTGTATAAAATACAGTCACCTGGAGTCCAAGAAGAGACCGGGTCTTCTCAGGAAACCAGTTTTCTGTGGACCTCATTGTGCCCAGTCTGCCCAGTCTGCCCAGTCTCATTTGAAGAGCTGTGCGTTTAGCCAAGGGTTAGACGGGCTCATCTCTTTCTTTTGCCCAATCCAAAATGACTCCTTGTCTGTGCTTCTAATATGGCGGGTGCGATGCCGGGAGAAAAAAGCACAGCCTCCTATTTAATCTTTGGACTTGAGGACATGTAGATTCTACAGAAAACAATTAAACAGGCGTTACTCTCTGAAATAATTCAACTAAAAGTTGTTCAAATATTATGATATAAATGTAAATATGCCTCATTTTCATCATTATCCTACATGGCTTCTGAATTCTGTTTGTGAATTTGTGTTGTAAAAAATTATCACATTTTCACAAAGACAATTGTTTTACATGGAACATAAACGGTGGCGGAAAATTAGAACATTTGCTGATTGCAGCAGGAAAACACGAAATGTTCAAATCCAATCCTTGATGGAAACATCACTTTGACATGTTTAAAAGCTGTTTCTAGGATCACATCAAAATAAAATCCTACACTGAGGCCTCTGCAAGAAAAACGCAAAGAATAAACGAACGCTGCTGACAATTAATAATTGTGCCGTGATGGCTTCAAATTGTCCTAAAATGAAATGAACATTGCAGAAAAAAAGAAGAAATATTTAGAGATCATGCAGCACAGGCTGCACCCATCTTTTTTTTTTTCCTCCATCTTCCTGTATCTCTCTGGCCTGTTTGTAATTCTTTAAACACACATGCATATATATATATACATATATATATATATATATATATATATATATATATATATATATACACACACACACACACACACACACACACACACACACACACATGCATGCGGCCATGGAGGAGGGTCCTCCCACCAAAACAAGTGTCCACAGCCTGACAGGACATGGCAACAGCCTGTCCCTCCTTCATTTAACAGGACAGGTGAATAAATTAAAGACCTCATGTGTTCTTGTCTGCACAGCTGCTCCCGGGGTGCTTCATGGTTCTGTTGGGTCCGGCCCGGTGGGGGGGTGATAAATGTAAACTTGAAGTTGGATGTGCGCAGATGCATCACTTACCATTCAAGATGCACTGAGAAAAGATAAGAGCCAATATCCACATGCCCCGCTCCGTTCAATATCCAGTCCTATGGGTTTTGTTCTGCTCTGCCCAGCGCGCGCGTTCTTCTTATTTCTCTCCGTTTTTATTCCTTCAACAAGTCAGTTGCGATGAAAGGAAGGAAGGCTGCAAATCTCCTCTCTCTCTCTCTCTCTCTCTCTCTCGCGCGCGCGCGCTCTCTCTCTCTTTCTCTCCTTCTTTCTCTCTGTCTCTCTGGTTCTGGATCCCGCACGATGAAGATGAAGAGGAGGAGGTTGGAGTTCCTGCTGGTTGTCTGGGGTACAGCGGGAGATGGTGTATGGTCCTGAGCCGTGCCGTGCCGTGCCGTGCCGTGTCTCAGAGCAGCCGTCCCTCCGTATCGGAGCGCTGCTCTGCGCGGATCCTGCAGCTCGGTTCCGTGCGCTCTGGCTCCAGGTGAGCTGCTGCTGCTGCTGCTGCTGCTGCTGCTGCTGCTGCGTCACAGGCTGCAGGCGCGCGCGCTGCAAACTGCCTTTTGCGCACAGAAACAAATCAAATCAATGTTCAAAATAATCCAAGACTTGAACGATATCTGTAAATAATTAAAAATCTGAATGAAAAAAGCTGATTGTCTCATCCTCCCCCCCAAAAATAAAAAAAATAAATGAAAGTTGGATTTCTTTTTCTTTTCAAGCGCATGGAGTTCGTTGTTAGCTGCTCTGGAAACTCTTTCTCTCTGAGCCGCTTCTCTCCGTCCGGCGAGCAACAAGCACGCGCATCTTCCCCCTCTCCAGCAGCCGCACACACAAACTGCGCGCTCCAGTCCGTGCGCTCAGAGCCTGCCCTGCCTCACAGCGCCCACGAAGAAACCTGCGTGTGCGCTCCTGCAGCCGCTTTTGTCCCTCTCCTTTGCCTTGAAGGTGCGGGTGGGGTGGGGTGGGGTGGGGGTGGGGGGTGGTGTTGAGCACAGCTGAGGCCCTGAACACGCGCCCTTTCATCTGTTTTTTGTTTGTTTCTTTTTAAATGTCTTATCACAGGTGCTCCAATCAAAGACACAAGAGCTGATTAACGTGAGGAAGTCACGTCAGGATCCTTCCAGGATTTGCTGGCAGGACGGCTGAGGGGGGGGGGGGGGTAGATTATACCTGAGCCGGTGCAGTGCTGGCAGTGTGAGATAAATAACTAAATTATTCTAATTGGAGGAGATTTAAACCCTGACTTCAAAATCAATGTGTTCTCTGGATAATTTATGAGCCCCCAGGGCGTTTCTGTGGTCCCTGCCAACCATAACCCCTTGCATCCATTAATTGACCTTGACAAATACCCCCCCCCCCCCCCTCACCAGGGGGCATCAAACAGCAGCCATGTCAGAGATCCGCAGCCCCCTCACAGAGGACAGCCACATGCAGAAATGAAATGTGGACGGCACAAGAGAGTGTCTTATCTCAAATAATAAAGGGTAAACTCCACATGGACAGTTACTGTTTATGATGGTAAATATCTAACCATTTGTTATAAAACAGTCTTAACTTGAACTGTGGGTGAGTTTTATGATAAAGTCATCTCTGCAGCGTATGTGGAACTAGCTCTGCGAGCACACGCACAGTAGCACTGCAGTGACACCCACTGCCCGTGTAAATCTTTTCCAGCGTGGCCCACTTACATTTAAAGGCTAAGCCCAGATATAGTATCTGTCTCCTAGACTTAGCATCTACATGAGACCTGCGCACGTTCTGCACCAGGAATGCACAACCTGTCACTGCCTGTCTGGCACTGTGCTACCAGAAAGGCTGCCCCAAAATGAAACACATTATTATCATCGACTGCAGCCACTAGAAAAAAGACAGCAGAAGACAAAACTGTAGCAAAGACGATTGTGTTGTTCTTGGTGAGGTTTGTGTGTCTGGTCTTATGGTCTCAAGCAGTTCTGGTGACCAGTTAGTGCTTGGGCCCCCTGGTGTTTGCCAAGTCCCTTCTGTGCCTTGCTCCGGTATTGACCCGTGCGCCAATTCTTCTTATTACCAAGCAATTCAGTCACAATAAGCTGGTGTTTACCAGTTTATAGGGTGCACAAGCCAGTATACCTCTTGTGCTGGTCCCAGATTCAGGTAAATGTCTGGGGTTGTTTGAAGAACATCTGATGCACTCTTGTCAGAACATACATGCAAGTCCGTCCAAACAACGTGTGGGACGACTCAATGGGGGGACTGCTAAAAAGGGAACACCACTTACATCTTCTTCTTTCATTTTCAGGGGTCCGCTTGTCTTTTTCTGGCAGATGCATCTCTAACATCCTTCTACCAATACAGCCCCTGTCCCTCCTCCACACAGGCACAAACCATCTCCACTGACAACCTTACTTTTCTTTTTCTTGTGGCTGCTTTCTTCACATCAAGCAAACGCTCACGAAGACTTGGTGATTATTTTTACACTGGACATCCTTCCTGACACAACCACAGCCCTCTGGAGCAGAGAGCTGCCATCTAGGGCGCCCAGAGGAGCAGATGTGAGGGTTAAGGGCCTTGCTCAAGGGCCCAGAGTGGGGCAAATGAGGGTGGAGGCAGGTGTGGGTGCTTCACCTATCCCATCCACATTTTGATGTTGTTGGTACCGGGAGTTGAATCGGCGATCTTTCGATCACAGGCCCACCTTCTCTAACCTCTGCACAACCGCTTCCCCCATTGATTATTTTACAGAGCTGTTTAAATACAATTTTATTAATTGTTTTGTTCCCCATAAACTGAAAAGCTACATTAGACAATTAAATGTATATTTTTTATTATTATTTAAACTCCTTTTTTTTTCCTGATTTTTCAAAAATTCCACAATTCAGTTTATCTTAAAAAATCAACAATTAATTTATTTAATGACAAAGAGTTTTTGTTTTGTTTTCTTGCCTGTTGTTTTTTTTTTTTTAAGTTTTATTTTTCCCTCTTCTCGTTCTACACAGATGTTTTGGGAAAACACAAAATCTTGCTGCAGCCTGCTCACAAAAGGCAAATGCTCCAGTAAATGATTATGGCTGCAGTTCATCACTTCATTCCATGAACAAACTGGGTGAGAAACTGGAAAAAACAATAGTTGCGTTTTGAAAAAGAGCTCCATTTTGAAGTTTCCTGTTATTGTTTTTTTAAATTGAGGAATATTAAAGCTGACCTCATATGTGAAAATAAAACACCACTTATTCAACTAAAAAGTGAAAAAAATGAACAGAGGTTAAAATAATGTAACAGAAAGCAATGTATTATTTTATTATCTAATAAATATGAGATAAAATGTATTTATTTTATCTCATGTAAAATATCTTTGTATTTATTGTATGTATTTTATTATATATATATATACTAAATAAATATCAAATGCTGAAAGACGCCTTTGCAATTATTTCACTGGTTAGATGTGTTACTAGAAATAAGAAACAAAATATTAAATGGCTTCCATTTAATCATTTTAAAATGAAACATCTAGCGTTTCAACGAAGGAGAGCCAATCACAAGCCACCATTTCCCCCAGAGTTTAAAATGAGAAGAAAACCTTGTACTTAGAAGGAACAGATTTGTAGAATTTTATTGTCAAAACTTTAACTTTATTTGCAATCTTACGCAATGAAGCGAGATATTATGTTAGACCAAGGGTGGGCAATTATTTTTTCCATAGGGCCACATGAGAAACAACAAATATTGTGGAGGGCTGGCACAAATGACTTTTTCATTCAACCTTTATTTAGACAGGTAAATCCCATTGAGCCTCGAGGACTCATTTACAAGAGAGACCTGATTTCAAGTTAACTCAATACTGCATAATAGTATTTCATTATTAAAAGCAATACATAGCACTGTTTTAACAAGCTGGTAAGAGTATTTGTTATGATTAAGCAACGAAAAAGCGAGGTTTCCTTAAAAAAATGTCATTTATTCAATTAAATTTCCCAGTACAATGGTAAACTGTTAAAATTTTTACCATTTGAGACGTTATGTTAATGATCATTTTCAGTCACATTCACCCCAAAACTCATTTTGAGTTTTATATACTGCTGGAAAAAGTTCTTAGCTTTGTAAATATATCACAATATTGTCTTTGTACTCCAAATATTATGAAACATCATATAATAGTGATCGTCACTGAACTGTGATTTCGAGTCCCGGTTCTTTACGTGCCTACATTTGTAGTCTAAACATCTCATTTGGTGTTTATCAGTTCTTTTTTCTTGTTTAGTGAGAGAAGTCTCGTCTCTGTTGGGCTTTAACGGAAATGTTAAAGTCAGGTTGAAGGTCTGAGGTGGAGATGTGAAGCAAAGCTGACATCATCAGTGAGAGAGGATCTATATCTGGATTTGGTTAACTTCATTTGTTTACATATGTATTTTGTAATTCCCCTTACGGGGGCCGGTCAGAGTCAACCAAAGGGCCGTATGTGGCCCTGGGGCCGTACAATGCCCAGGTCTGTGTTAGACGATTATCTTCTGTCACTGTCTGTCTGTACCTCTGTGCGTTTTTCTTCTCCTCGCGCTCCTGCGCACACCTGTTCCCAATCCGAATCACTACAGGTGTTTCTCACTCATCTCATGAGTGTTAGTATTTATTCTATGTGTTTTTACTCCCTTTGCATCCAGGCATTATCCTACCAAAGGCTCACTACTCCTTCCATGGTGTCCACAGTCTGGTCTTCTCCTTCTTGTCCTACATAAGTTTTGCTGCCCCGTCAGCATGATTGTTTTTGTTAAATACATCTTTCAGTTTTACTCCTGAGTCTTCATGCCTCTGCCTGCACTTGGGTTCGACATTAAACACCAGATCGTATCACAATGCCTGGATCGAAACGCAAACCAAGCAGGCAGTGGGTCCCTCATGGGGGTCGGACTCCGAAGACTTTCAGTGACTCCACGAGGTGACCCACAACAACATCAACACTGTGGCCGCCTCCATCCATCTATGGGAGCGGATGGTGGTCACAGAGGACTGAATTAAAGACTACGCTCAGTCAAAGAATCTGGGTTACTAACCAGGTATGTGGTAGTTGTTTGAGGAAGCGATGACAAATGTGTGCTGTGCTCCCTCCTCCTACAACTTTTCACCTTAGCTGCCACCCAGTCTGGTTCTCCTTCTGACTCATCTTCAGAAGAGAGTCTCTCTGCAGATACTCCTGGTCCCCGTCCTCGTCACCACCGTAAGAGGGGCCAAAAGCAGAGCCAGTCCAGGTATCCCGAACTCCAGCTCCTTCCTCTACAGCCCCTTTTCTACAGTTTCTCCTTGGCCCCGCTTTACCCTGCTCAGGCCGGTTCCATGTTCTTTTCCACAGGACCTTCTTCGTGGAACCGGACTGTTTTTTCAATACCTACTTCTCTGCGTTTCCATTAAGGCCAAGCAGGACCCTAAAACGTGATGTCAGCACACTGTTGGTTACTGATTGGTCAGGGGAAGGAGTCACTGGATCTTTCAGAAAATTTTCACTGATTCGCCATTTGCAATCACTCAGAACTCGGAGCAGCTGCTGGATCTATTTTTAAGATTTTAAAAACAATAATGACAACACTGTGGTCTAATGATGAAGTGCAGGCGTTTTTTGTGTTTGGTGGCCGATGACATAAATTCAGAGGGAGCTAGATGGAGCTCTTCTGCTCAGCTCCTCTGTGCTGCTGGCTCAGGTTCCGGATCCCGGCCTAGCATGTTCTGCGGGCTCCGAGCTCCGGTCACCGCAGAGGATCACATGAGCTGGTGACTCGCAGAAGGCCAGGGTCCGGACCCCAGATTTAATAAATAATAATAATAATGAATTTAATTTGTAACGCACTTTTCATTAACAAAAATCTCAAAGTGCTACAGAGTGCAACTAAAATCAATGATAAAATCAACTAAAATCAGTGATAAAATCAACTGAAATCAATGATAAAATCAACT